AAATTGCTGCTTTCCGCTTAAAAACTGCAAGTTGATTGGCTATACATTTTTCGAACCAAAATCTCGGACCGATTTCTAGCAACATGGATCATGGATGTTGGACTTAAAAATTTACTATACACATGATGTAGAGATGGCGCCACACGAAGTGTAATATGTATAAAACTAAGCGATGTATTATACTGTACAATACCAAGTATAATACAATGTAAAATACCTCACGTATAATACGTGCCCAACCCTGGACAATATTAACGGAAGAGAAATATATATATAGGAAATGTAACACTAATAAAATGAAACTAATTTGCTTATAATAATTATACACCTATGAAAAGTAGGGTGCTTTCCAACTACGTACACAGGCGACACTGGCTGCGTTCGTTTTTTACTGGCAGTACTGAAAATCTATAGATACATGTCACGTATACTATAGATTTTTCAGTGTTGCCAGTAATAACCGAACAGGGCCCTTGTGTAACACAGTGTCCATTAGTGTGAGTGAGACACACTGATATGCTCTTTCTCACACTAATAGACACTGTGTTACACAGTAGCTGCGGTCCGTTTCATGCTTAATCGCGCATTTATCTGTAGTATATGTCACGTATACTATAGATAAATGTGCGCTTAAGCATGAAACGGACCGCAGCCCTAAAAGGAAAGCAGCCTATGTAGATGGAAAGCACCCAGAGAGTTACTATTCAAAGTATGTTGTCTCTCTCAACGTTGAAGACATCTTTTCAGCCAAACGCGCAGTCTATATATTATACGTCTATGGTAGGGGTACGCACACAAGCGAGAACCGCCATCCGTGTGCGCACTCGCTTTGATCTCTCGTTGCTCTCTGCTCGAACTTGCAACTCTGGTGCGGAAGCCCTACGTTGATATAATTTCCTTTTTAGATTGTATGTGTTTTTTTTGTCATGGAACAAAAGATTGTTCTGAATTTGTTTATATTTGGTGCAATATTGGCGACATCAGCTGTTGAGCAGTTTCCAAAAAAGAAATCGTGGAAGGAAAAAGATATCCGAGACATGAACGATGTTGATCTTGAACACTTGTTAGAGCAGTGGGAGGTATTACTATTATTATGATTTTATAAATAATGTAATTGGTTTGTAGTAAACACAAAAGAGTTTATTTTTTGTAAATATTTTTACTAATTTACAAACTACTTGCATTTATATACGAAATATAACAATGATTAATATTTTTATATAATAATTTAAAATATATTTTTTATAGAAGTACTCTAAGATATATATTAAATAAAATAAAATATATATTTTAGGAAAATGATGATCCCTTAGAACCAGATGAATTGCCAGAGCACATGCGACCTAGTCCACAGATGGACTTGTCAAAGGTTTAATCACATAAATTTACTTACTCACTTTTATCTGAAGTGTAACAACTATTAATTCTTTGTGGACAGACCTAAAAAATGACAACTAGTTGGATAGATGTACAATCCATGTGACTTTAAAATTAAATATCCACAAAAAATCTAGTAATTTCAAAGATATAAATATTAAAAAAATAAAAAAATAATGTTTACTAGAGACACTGATGTGCAATTTTTTACTGGATCTAAAGTCCATGTCTGTTTGCAAAAAGTTAATTTTATATAGTAACTATTATAAAATTGTGTTAAACTTACACATAAGTAACTTTATTTTATAGTTAGATCCCTCAGATCCAGACAACTTGCTGAGAATGACAAAGAAAGGAAAAGGTGTTATGATGTTTGTAGATGTTATACCAGAAATTTCAGACAAGGAAGCTGATACTATAATGCATATTTGGCAGACCAGTCTACAGAATAATCATATTATTGCCGAAAGGTAAAATATATGTAATCTGATATTTGATGCTTTTGTGATGTGTTATAAGAATTTCTGAAAATAAGTTGTGGGTTTGAACTGTGTCATTTTATTATTGATATAGAAGTGAAATTAACAGTTCAAATTATCTTCAGGAATTCTTATGTATATGTAAACTATACCTATATACGTACATTTGTACACACATGTGTATATATATACATACATACACACATACACACAAATATACAGATATCCAATTGACACAAAGAGATCAATATTCATGTTCCGAGAAGGATCACAAGTGGTCGATGCTAAGAATTTCTTACTGGAACAACCCAAACTATATCGTGTTACTTTAGAGGGACAAACATTTTATAGAAATGCAAAGGATCAGGTACTGCAAACAAAAAATAAATATTACCTACAATGAGCAAACCAAATCATATTTATAAATGTCTGTTATAAGAACTAACATCTGTTTTTTTTTATAGAATGCATATGATGAGGAGATAAAGAGAAAAACCGCTCAGATCAAACAAAAGACTGAATTATAATTTCATGTTTCTGTGAATAAGGTTTTGTATTTTTTGAATCAAATTGTTACTTTGTAAAAGCACAATATAACATGATTATAATAAAATTATACATACATGGTAGAATATAGTATTTTTACATATAGTTCAAAATATTTACTGAACAATTATATTATTATTATATAGGATAGGCTTGATAAACTCTAAAGGACAGTTGTATCATAGTTGCACATTTTTACTTGGTACTACTACTTTGAGTGGTTTTGCTGATTGTGTTCTCAAATTGTGCTTCCATTGCTCTGACCTCTCCTTGGAGTTCTTTCACCACTGTTGCAAGAGCATGGGGATTTACTCCATTTTCACACAATCTTATGCAAATACTCAGAGTAGTTGGATCTAAATTTGTATTGAGCAACTTGGAAATTTGGTACAAAGTCTGGAACGTCTTACGAGCTGCATTCACCTGATGATTCACAGGCTCTGGCATGCTGGCTCGCTTCAGTTCCTTCCTAAGAATCAATATTAAGCAAAGAATACAATAGATATTTTGTTAGGTTACACACAACTCCTTGTTTAGATTAGATTAAAGAATTGTTTTGTCATAACAAATTAGCATTTTCTTTCTTATAAATTAAGTACTTACTCATCGATGTTAGACAGTTTTACAGGTCAAAATTACACCACCAAATGAATTGTTTACGTCTTTCTCTACAAAATTAGGTGAAACGTTCAATGCGTTTTTATGCCAAGCACGAACTTCAAGAAACAAATGAGATACTTGTTTCCAATATGTATCAAATCACGAATTTCTAAAAAAAACTACACTTATTCAATGCATTTTTTCGTAAAAGCAAAAACCTTGATTTTTTCTTACGGTAGAACTTCTCAAAACGTAAAAGACAATGAAGATGTACTAAGGTTTTGGTTTTGCGCTTGTGGCTCTTGGACCAAAATCGGTTAGGCCTGTTCTACAATACAGTCGTAAGAAATTGACCAATCACAGACAACGATTGTAGAACAGGCCTCAGGGCGATGTCCCATTGAGCGGAAATCTATAGCGGAACGGAATGTGCGGAACCAGCTCGACCAATCGTAACCATAGAAAAAGCAAAGGAAAGAAAACGGAATGGCTATGATTGGTCGAGCTGGTTCCGCACATTCCGTTCCGCTATATATTTCCGCTCAATGGGACATCGCCCTCAGGCTTCTCTCTGGTGGAAAATAGACCAGTGTCGCCCATATATGGGTGTGTTTAGCCGAAGCTAGCGCTACGTAGCGCTACGTAGCGGCTTCATGTAGCAGTTGCAATTGCTGCGTTA